AAAAAAAATTTCCTAAATTATACAACGAACATGCAATCCATATCATCCTTCGCATCAATTTATTGAGGTTCACACAATGTCATTTTTATTTTAATTGTATTTATTACAATATACATTGCATTCTTTCTCTTTTTTCCTTTTTCATTTTCTTTCATATACGTCAAATGTATGGTTGATCATTTTTCGACATCTGAACAAATATTAAAAAATTTTCCTTTAAGCAGCATAGGGATTTAATTTTAAAATTTTTATTTGTTTGCTTATTAAAAAAAAATGTTTTGACTTAATGTAATGTTTTACAATCTTTCATTTACTGCAAAAAATGCAATTTATTTCAAAATGTTAAACAAAGGAAAATAAATAAAAAGGTTGTAATTTGTGTAAACAAAGGATAAATAAATAAAAAGGTTGTAATTTGTGAAAAAAAGTAATACATAAATAAATAATATATATATATATAAAAATAAAAATAAATTTTAAAGGAAAAAAAAAATTTTTTTTTCCTTGAAAAATTTTTCAAAAAAAAAATAATCTAATTTACTAGTTATCGTTGTCTTTTACCACCTGTAGACATTAAAACCAATTTTTTCTTTTTCTGCTTTTTACCGACATAAATTTCCTCTTCCGGAATATCCCATGATTCTTGTTCAAGATCATCTTCAGTGGAATCCTTGGGCTTTGTAACATTTGGAAAGGATACGGCTGGAGTTCCCCATACTGTTTTTGGTCCATTGTACTGATCACCAGGTTTGATATTTTTATCATCAGGCACATTTTCATTGGTGTCGGAAGATTCTTGATTCGCTGTCCCAGAACTACTACCAGCTTCGCGATAAGAATAAGGCTGAAAAAATGAATCGGAACTAAACGATTCCTGTTGAATTTCTTTATTATGTCGCTCCTTACGAGCGGCCAGTTCATGTGGCCATTCTTCTTTACGTGCCTTTTCTTTGCGACGATTGTAACGTTGCCTTAATTCATCTTTTGTTAATTTAATTTAAAAAATAAGATTAATAAATTACATCATTGAATTTCATAATGATTTATCTAAATGATAAAAAATTATACCACATACTTTCAAAAACCTTCAATGAATTATCTGAAACGAATCCTTTTAAATCTACTTCTAGAAAAGTTACGTCACAACCCAAAGGTAAATGGCTCAAGTATTTACAACGCTTACGAAGATCCTTTAAATGAATTAATGATAATGATGTTAATTTTTAAAAAAAATATGTATGTAAATATATATGTATTAGAAATGTACCTCGGTCATTGTAGATTCGTCAACGCCAAGAATACGAACGGTGATATCATTTGGGAATTGATTATACGATCCAAATTCTTGTTTCAATACACGAATATCTAATGGATGCAAATAAATATGTTGTCCATCTTCGGATTGATAATAATAATACTCACGATCGTATGCACGAGAAACCTTAGTAGTTTTAATCTTGGGCTTTTCATCAGGGGTTAATGGGCTTAAATTTGCAATATGAGGCTTATATTTAAAGTCATCTGGTAAAAAGGGTGGAGGGTTGGCATCAGAACTTATTTTAAACGATGTGGTATTAATATCCTCATGTGATGTATTATTAACTAAAGCAACTTCGTCTGCAAAGACGTCAACTTCCTGATAAGATGTTTCAATTGCATTTAATAAATTTGCCTTGTCTTGAATTTTATTATAATCAGCATCTGCCATGTCTAAAATTTCACGTGCACATTGTTCGGCGTCAAGAGCAGCTTTGGTGGATAATTTTTCGAGAACTTCTAAATGTTCCTATAAAAAGTATTCAATTAGCCATGACCATTAGCAATGAATTATAAAGGAAATCTAAATATTAACAAACACAGAGACGTAAGTGAGCAGATCATACTTTAACATTAACTATGGCCATTTCAATGAATGGAATTTCTTCGATAGAATTCCAATTATGGGCTTCCTGTAACGCGTCTTCTAACTCACTTAAATCACGATTATATTCACTATGCATATAATCGATTGAAACAAGTGTCAACTTTGAAAACGCGAGCGCGTTAGGAGTAAAATACCAAGGAACTGAGTGTGATGCATTGTTATCGTCATCACGGAGTGGCCAAGTTGATGAACGCGGAAGCGCGACAGTTGAATTCTACAATGGGATGAATGTAAAGGATGATATGATGTTAGCTTTTACCAACACTCTTTCGTAAATATACGATAAAGTTAAAATTTAATACCGCAGGTCGTTGAATGAGTCGCATAGTAAGCATCTCCTCTCCTTTTGTCAATCCACCACCTACTTTTCCAATAGTTCTGACAGACCAAAATCTGACGCATTTAAGGTCCTTAGAATATACAGCATCCCAACAAATAGGACACTTACGCCATTTTTTGTTTGGCCTGTCGTCTTCATCATTCAGTTGCAAATAATGAAGAATACAAGCAAGACAATATGTGTGACCGCATTTGGTCACACGAGCTGCGGTTGGTTGTTGAAGACAAATCGGACAGCTGGGAATGTTAGGATTAGTTATAATCTAATTTTTAAATGAATAATCAAAGTTAAGTTAAGTTAATCTCATCCACTTGATTTGTAACACTATTTTATGTTAACATACCACTTGCTCGATGTCTTGCCAATTAAGCAATAGATCTAATAAGAAAGAATTATCATACGTTATGAAATAATGTTGAATATATAATTGTTAACTACCAGACAGAATTTCTCGTAATAAACCTACCCGGATCAGCTTGATAAACGGTGTAATCACCCATCGATTTGACAAGAAACCTGAAACTACATTAACAATGTACGAATTAGATTGCGGATATTTGTCTGTCAAATTGATTATTTGATACATACTTTGCATTCAAAAAGCGTTCTTTATTATAAGGTTGATAATTAATTGCTTTCTGTCTTCGAGGAACATTGGCATTAGAACTTTGTCTCGGAGGAAATGAGAAATTCAAAAGATGATTAAGAGAAATTTGGCCTCTTTTATTTGGAGCACCATATGCCTAAAATTTCGAACGTTATATGTTAAAAAATTATTACCTCGATAAATACAAAAATTTTTAAATGACGACGTACCATGGGATCCGCATCAGTAATGACCACATCACTCAGAGCTGTTGAAACTGTAGTGACAGGAGAATGCGATTCATCAGCTTGACCTGAATCATTCTCGCCAGAGGAATTGCTATTACTCCCGTCTCCATTTTTAACATCAACATCAGATGGTTGACGCTGTTGATGATGGGAATAACGATTTTTGTTACGGCGAGAATTATTATTCTTTTTATTATTATTTACGCTCAAGCGGACTAAATAATTAAAATCATTTGATCATTTCAGCATAACAATCGTAAAATGGATTTGAAATCATTTGATTTGATTATATTTAAATACCATTTGGATCCCCTTGAGCATGATAAGTTTGATTCTTGGAGCCATTCCTTCTCAACTCAGGCTGGAGCGAATTCTGATTCGATGCGAAGTTTCGTCCAGGCGGACGTTGAGCACGTGAGATGGGTGTTGAAGGAGGATTGTTTGTCCTCGTTGCCATATTTTGTGGGATGAATGCACGTGCGTTGGTATTCATGGTGTTGACTTTCACAATAATTATATATACGCGGGTTATTTGGTTTTCTTGGAGAAAATAATATTAAATAATTCCAATTGCTTGTTGCAATAATGGTAGCCAAAGATAATACGAATATAATTGGATATAACCAATTTGGTGGATACAATTTGTGATGATAAATGTTGTTTGACTTGTTCCGATTTTTCCTCTCAATACGAGTAAGTATCGGAAATGCCAAAAAGAAAAACTTAAAATAATGAAGTAACCAGTTTCCAAAAGTTCTCTTGGAACTAACAATGAAATTTGTCAATAATAAAAGTAATGTGTGCTCCATTTAGAACAAGTAAATAGATAACATAAAGGAATCCATACTGGGCAAAATATATAATAAATAAAATCAAAAAAAAAAAATATATATATATATAATATTATATAGAATTATAAAATAATTAAAGCTTTAATTTTTTTTTTTTTAAAAAAAAATTAATAATAAGAGATATTAATTAATAAGAAGAGAACAAAAAAGGATCTTGATTAGTTCTTTTTTATTCTTTGGAAACTGGTATTACTTCAAAAAATAAAGTCTTTTTTCTTTATGCACAATCTTAAAGAATAGAAAGTGAGAGAAATAACTTTTTGAAACTTATAGAAAAACCGATTCTTTTGTTGTTTGTAGTTTTGGTAAACGCAAGGCTCTCAAAAATAAGAACTTGGCAACTGTTCAAGTTCGAAAAGCGAATAATTTCTCAGGTAATCCATTAAATAATACTTTGCCTTGGTCACGATTGTGCAAAAAATTTCATTGGACGATTTTGACGTTGCTAGATTCTTTCAAACCATCACGTGTATAATTTTATAAAAAAAGATTTTGAATAATATACATATTTTTTTTTTTTTTTATATAAATTAATTCTTCAAAATACCAACTCAAAAATATAATAAATCTCACATATAGGATATTTATATAATATACTTATCATAGTTTAGTTGTTTTATGATTTTAATTTTTATTATTCGTTGGCTGATTTCCACGCGCCGACCAGCTGATAAAAAGAGGCAAGCGTTCCAAAGATACCAACACCAACGTCTGGAAAAGATGATTTTTCAATCGACCAATGAAGCTATGAATTTAATATTGAATTTAGTGAGAGAAGATCATGATGGACACTCAAATGTAAGAAAAAAGAGCGTTTTACGTACTGTCAACGGCAAATAACCAATGTTAATAATCGTATCCCTTATGATTCTCTCTCCTTCCGCTTTAAGCACCCGTTTTTCTCGTCTGATCTCTACTTCATCACCATCCACCTTTTTAATCATATCACGCTTTCGTCTTTTATGCATGCTCCATTCTGAAGCGAGATGCCAAAGTTGGAGAATGACATAAGCCGCCCAAAAACGACAGCTCCAAATTCCGATTTTATTCATCCGTGCATCAGACATATTTATGACCTTGTGATACGCAAGCCACCAAATGTGTTCCAGAGGGTAATAAAGGATCATGGTAAGATTTTGGACACGCTCGATATGTAAAAGGAGTGGTGTTACTGGGGGATGATGTTCAATATGGATCATCCATTGAACTAAAGGAAGAAGACCATAGTATCTTTATATAAAGGAATGAAGAGAAGAAAAATGGTTTAGCAAAAAAACTTTTTTTTAAAAAACATAAAATCCGAAATATCATCTGTTCCCACACGAATAATAGTAATAAAGAAAAAATAGAGAACTCACCGAAGGAAGATCCTAAAGTCAGCCACTGGGCCACTTAAATTGGCAATACGTTGGGCCAATGATCCATTACCAGTACGATTGAAAAACCAAATCATAATTTTCGAAAAATACTGAATAAACTACTTGTTTTGTATATATAAAGATTCGTTAAATATATACGAATTTCTCCTAAATCATCAAAGTTCATTACAGTATTTTATTCCCATGGACCGAAAACAAGGTCACAATAAAAAATTCAGTAAATACATACCATCAAAACCTTGTCAGTCCCAGGTACCGAGTTTAAAAACTTTACAAGATGGTCAAGACTCGGATTGGGCTGGAAATTTCTGGCCACGGCTAACGGGTTAGAAAGTCGTGTTGGTTTTGAGATGATGTTCATTTTTTGTAAGTTCGCGTCGATCAGACCACCAACAAATTTTATCAGGAGAAAGAAATGTGTAAAATGAGGAATTATTAGCAAATTAAAAACATTTAACTACAAAGTGTGCTAATAGTTGAGCTTTGATTCTCTTTTTGTTATAGACTTTTTAAATCTAATAAACGAAAAACCTCGGTTTAAGAAAGTCGAAAAGTTATATTGCGATCGAGTACTTTAAAGCACGAGATTTTTAGTTTTAAATTTCTTTAATCTCAAAATTGACGTGTGTTTCACAAATCTACCAATCTAATCTTCGTTATAGTGAAATCTTTTTTTGGTATTTATAAAATCATCATGTTATTATAGGTTCCAGCCACCTTTTTCTATTTCTTAGGAAAGTTAGATCCATAACATAAATAGCCTCGTGAGAAAATTACCATAAAAATATCTGAAAGAATCAAAAGAAAAAAAAAGAAAAATTTTTTGTTTATTTTTAAAAATTCGATCAACAAATTTGCAGGGGTAAAAAGATTACTGAATTATGAATTATAGATAAAGTGTAAATTTCGAGGTTAATTCGGAGATTTTAATATTTGCCTAAATCTAAATTTAGCAATAACAAAATTTCTAGAAAATTCGGAGATATAAGGATAAAGAAAACTGCACGAACGATTCCATTATTATTTATTATTTATATAATTAAAATGGTGTAATGGCAAGAGATGTGATCTGGTTTTTTTTTTCTTGTTGAAGATCATCCTTAACAAGATTCTGATGATCGTTTCAAGGAAGATAATGATACTTCTGGTTACTGGGAAATCCGATAAATAAAATTCGAAAGCGAAGAAACTTTAAAATCACACGACATGCGTCAAAGGTACGTCAATTTAAAGATTGATAAACCACAAAGGAAAAGAAAATATTTTGATCGAGAAAGAACCATTTAGGAAGGCTTACTCTTTTTAGTGTATGATGTACTGCGCTTTCATTTCTCCACAACAAACATTACACATTAAGAAGGTTGCATATAATCGTTAATATTTCATGCATATTGACATATACGAAATTGTTTAGCTTAAAATTTCCTGATCACTCAAAGGAACGCCACCGATGAAATAATGAAAGCAAGAGGAGTTAATGCCAAGAAAATCATTTATTTTCTAATCGCCACATTTCGTTACGGAAGAGCTAAGTGAAGAACGTCATATAAATATTACAAAGCGAGTTCCGAGTCCACTTGGGATGATTAGACAAAATACTCGTAACTTGTAGAAGAAAACAAATTCACCCGAAATTGTTTAGCATGTGAAATATAGGGAAAAAGAATACCTCAAGCATTATTATATATATATTTATATTATGCTTACATTATAAATGATACAGTTAATTTCACTATCAGTTTCCAAACATCGATTAACAATTTGAAAATCACAATCAAAATATTCGATAATCACTGAATCGTAAAATCCAATTGTAAAATCCGATTTCCATTTCCATTTTACTACCTAATGGGATATATGTATTTATTTTTTTTTTTTTATCACAATTCACATTTTTTGATGAAGGAAAGAAATTTTTTCACGAAATTATTAAGGAAGGCACCACATATAATCCAAATAATCCAAATAAAACTCATATATTTATTTTTGTTATTTTTTTTTTTTTTTTTATGAAATAAAAAATAAAAAGCGCATGACAATGAATACTTTTGTTCTCTTTCGTGAAACCAATTTTATAAACAAGATAGAAGATCGCTTTTTCTCCCATGAACATATGCGTTTTACGTTATGCAAACATAATAAAAAAAAAAAATAATAATAAAACATGTGTGTCATATAATAATGGTGTTACTAATTTCTTTGGAAAATAATAAATAAAACCAGAAGATTATTTCTGAATGAACCTTACTTTCCACTTTTATCATGTGATGAGCGTTTATCCGATTGGACATCTGAGGTGTGGTTCCCTGACTTTTTCTTCTCAGTTCCCATCAACAATAATTATCAAAAATATTATTGCTGACATAAAAGTTAAGAAAAAAAAGAACAATTACATGGTTAAAATATTATCATCATTTTTCTGTATACAATTTTTGTCAAATAGCAAATTTGGCATTTTTCACTAAATAATCACTAATCCTTTCTTGGTCAACATGGTCATTTAATAATTCCCTATTGTACATTTGAGATTATTCGACATTTTTATGATAAGCAAAATGTTTTTGACGATGCACACTCCCCATCTTTTTTTTTTTCATCATAATCCCAAGTGGGACAAATTTTAACGTCGCTAACACACAAAAAAGAACCATATATGGTAACCATGGTTTTTACTAATTTCACTAGCATAACAATTTTTTAATCGTCTGGTTTTAAATATACCCACAAAGTGGTACAATTGGTAGTATTGTGCTTTGTGCTTATTACCCAGAGGCTAGTGTACTCAAGCCAAATCTTCCAAAATTGTACTTACATTACATCATGATGATCAATATTCTAAATTTACTATTACAAACTGTTAGAATATAGTAATATATCGATTTTAACTATTCTATATTTGCATTTTCGCTTTTAATTATAAAAAAAAAATTTTTTTTTTTTATACCGTCTATTTTACATTTTTTAATCAAATCAGATTTTTAAATTAGTTGTCAGAAAGATCTATTTTTCTATTTACTCGTGAAAAAAACAGATAAATACCCATCGTTATTCAAGTTTGAAAAGAAGCATCTTTTTCTAAAATTTTCTCATTTTTCGCTTCAATAAGAAACGTGAGCTGTAAAATATATATATATATATATAAGGAAAGCTCTTCTTTTTACGTTTTATTAAAGTTTTTTTTACATATATATATGTATTATATTTATTTATCTTAAAATTGAAAATATTTATAAAAACTTTTTTTTGGCAAAAAATATTCCCACTTGTTTAAATTTGCTGTCAAAACTAAATATTCTCTCTCACACCTTTTTACGTTAATTTTTGGCACTTTATTTTTTTACTCCTCTTCTTCCCTTTTGATCGTTATAACTCAATTCCTTTTCTTTACAACATAAACTGTAAATTTCAATTACTGCTTCTCTCGTAATGGAATCTTGGAACGTTTACTCTCAAAACACACATGAAACACCCAGTTCTACTTGGTTGTGTCCACAGAATAATTCGCATGGAACAGATTGGTTGCAACCTCAGAACAATACTTCTATTGAGCGAGAACGTAATGAGAGTATGTTGCGAATGCATCCTTAAAAAGTGGAATTTTTTTTCTTTCACTTTTTGTGAATTCTAATTTTGTATTTCTAATTTTATTATTATTATTATTATTATTATAGACACGGACTTGGCTACTCCGACACGCTTTATGATGGAATATAATGAAATAAATCAAAATTCCACAACAAATCCTTATTTCAGTCCTTTCGCCCAAGATATGGACAGACTCTTCGATTTAAAAATTGGTAATCAAGAAGACATGCTAAATAACAACGTGTACAACAATGAAGATTTTTCATCATTTTTGAATTCGAGCGAATCCGTTGTTCCTGTTTCAACCTCGCAGAATACTACCGTCCCTATTTCCAATGCCACATCAAATAGGAACGTTATAAATTCTCCCACTCCAAGCCTCGTCACGGATGACGACCAAGATCAGTTATATAATATACATGAACAATTGGTCCAGTATCCCATTGTCACATCGGCTTCATTCATCCCATCAAATTCAATCGCAAATGATTTTCAACAAAAGCAGCGTCAAATTCAAAACCCTACGTCTACGTCAGTTTCCTTCACCCATTCGATTTCTGATACGACCGAACATGAACGACAAACTTTGAACGCGTCAAAAAGATCCGTATCATCATCACCTATTTCTCAATCTACTTCACCTATCGTCGTAAACGAATCTCAAAAACTTGTCCAACTCAGTAATGAAAGAGAACAACGGGCTAATTATTCCATGAAATCAACGTCATTCTACCAATCTGATGATAAGCAAGACTTATATTTCCAAGAAGTCCGACAACGATTATTTCCTTCCATGAATGAAACAGTTTTATCAGCTGCTCCACGAAATCTTGATAATCGGGATCAATACTTACAAGCCAAAAAGCATGATCCAAAGCAATTGCTTTTACCTTTGACAATCAACAAACCTTCCACGGATGTGGTTACGATCACTTCGCCTTTGTCAAGTCTCGCCACCGATGACGATGAAATGGACATATGTGAACAAACTCAACATAGGAAGAGTAATCGTCAAAGTAACTATCAAGACTTTCAATTGAGTATTTCTACTAATGACCTACCAATGCAACAACCTTCCCCTGCATCATCGGAATATTTCTCGAGCAATACGAAGACGCCACCTTCCTCTCATGATACCACTCCAAAAGAAAAGAAACGTCGTACCTCACAAAGAAAGATAAATAGTAAAAGACCTGCAAAGCTTCACGATGAAGCGTTAATCACTCCAATCGATGAATCT